GAAACCATGTGATTCAAATTGTTATTGTAACTGAGTAATAATGACAGCTCTGACCAGAGTGCATTAGAAGATTCAAAAAGTAAATTAGCATAGATTTTTTAGCCTTGTAGGTATATTGATACATGTAAGCTGGCCTTACGAAAAATGTTTTTGTTGTTATAACTAACTACAGGGATATTTTTATAAAAAATAATAAATTTCTGCTGAAACGCTGCACAAAATTTTTATAGACAGTCATTTTGGTGTCACTCCCTCTGACAGTCACTCGGTGTGGTCCCACAGCACACAATAAGGCTGCCAGGAATGAAAAGGGGAGGGAGAAGAAGTGGGTGGTTGCAGGAGGCAGGACCTCAGAAGAGCTGGGACTCTGCTGTGATCCAGCCTGACGATTCTTCTCTTTCCCTTGTTGTTGGTGCTTCTGCTTAAAGTTTCCAGGTGAGTACATGGACAGAGAGCAGCTGAGATGGCACAGGGCCTGGTGATGGTGCTAGTGGGGCTGCGTTGGGCTTTTGAGAGGGCTTCTCAACCTTTAATGCACACACGAATCACTTGGAGATATTATTAAAATTAAGATACGACTTAGTAAGTCTGAGATGTGGCCTGAGATTCTGCATCCCTGGTGATGCCAGTGCTGCTGATCTGTGGATCACACTTTGAGTAAAAGAATCTAGAACGTTCTCCAGGCCAAGTGGGGCAAAGAGCCTGGGTCCAGCACTGTTGTGTCCTCCTTCAGTGCACATTTCCTCCCTCACAACTGAACTCTCTGAGATGGATTCTGCCACCAATGGAATCCTGAAATTTTTCTCCAAAAGAACAAGAGATGCTTAGAAGAACTCTTACAAAAGCTGTGTTGGAATTAAACTTTTTTTTTTTTTTTAACATTTAAAAAACTTTGCATGTTTAGAAATCCCCTCAAACTCTGAGCTTTCCTCACTCTTCCAACTCTTGAGCTCAGATCCTGCCAGGTCCCTCCTAAACAAATTCATTTGCAAACTGCTTCTCCATTCCTAAAA